GATGCTTTATCCTCTATGTCCTCATTTTCAGCTCAACACCTTCAAGACTCAGCAGAAGGTCGACATCTTAAACTCTGTGAGTGAAAACACAACTCGTGGGTCTGTGTGATGTCATAGAGAGGGGACATGATACGACCATCTTCGTGTACTGACTCAAGTTTGCGTTTCCAGATGTTCTCCTTCGTCCACGCTCAGTTCACCTTCTTCCACCAGGGCTTTGACCTGCTAAGAGACCTCGAGCCCACCATGAAAACCATGGCAGCGCAGGTCTGTGACCTCTGACCTCTTTGTGCTGGTTTGTGTGGTAGCCTCAGTGTGGAGTAACGGCTGTGTACACGTATGTGTTTGTGTGTGCTCCACAGCTGTCACAGCTGTCTGCAGACTGCACGGCCAAGAGGAAGGAGCTGGAGAACAGACACCTGCTGGTCCAGCAGAGGGTAAGGAGTCTCACAGATCAGCACATCTGTCCCAGCAGACGCTGCAGACAGATGTTAGATATGTTGTTCAAGAAGGGACGAATACATTTAGGCTCAAAGCAGAACGAACGCTCTGAAACACGCGTGTTTGTTCTAAGGACGCTTCAGGTGAGCCGATGGTCAGCGCGTGTCCTGGCAATGATGACATCATCCGGGGTTACCTGTTCAAACGCTCGAGGAGGAAATCTAAAATGTGGAAGAGGTAGAGACCCGCAGCGTCACATGGCCTGCTGACCTTTGACCTCAGTGAATCCTTCTAACGTGTAAACCTGTTTCAGATCCTGGTTCACCATCAGAGACAACCAGCTCATATACAGGAAGTCCCACAAGGTGAGACCCGGCCACTCAATCAAAGAACAGCTAATCAAAGGGATCGATTTCACTGCCTGATAACTGATCAGATCAATCAAGAGGTCTGAATTTGTTCCCAGCTGGACGTTCTGTTTATGGTGGTTTAACTTCTCATTGGATTCACATCCTGTTACATCCATTAAACAGAGTTCAGCTCCTCGGATTAATTACATGTAATCAAATCCAGCCTTAAATCCACCTGTGGGAGAAAATTAATGCCCAACTCCAGCTGAGATCACAGCTGAAGACACCTCACGTGACTTCATGTTGGTGTGGCAGGTGTCCCTGAGATTTCTCTGGAAGCTGACCGCTCTGCCTGCTTTCATTCAGAACAATCGTTAGCATGTTTTTGTCTACGTTTATTCATTCTGCAAAATTTACTTTTTTCTTTCTGTTCACAAATTTTTACATCAGAAACTC